TTAATTACTGTAACGTGAGTATTTGTAATTCGTTACTTCACACCCCTGAGAATTAGCATCAAATGAATTAATTTGAACCTGAAGGCTGTCATTTTTTTCTATGTTAAAATGCCCTCTCCAACTTAATATGCACAGACAGCTATAAAAAAAGAAAAAAAAAGCTAACACTGTGGTGCTACATTCCTCTGAATGATGATATATACTGACATATTGATCATATATGCAAGTAAAAAACATTTTAATGCATCCTTGCTGAATTAAAGACATTTATAATGTTACAAAGGATTTCTATAAATGCTGTTCATCAAAGAATTCTGATTGTTTGATTATTCCAAAACCTATTACGCAGAACAACTATCTTCAACACTGATAATAAGAATGCTGATTTCTTGAGCAGCCAATCAGTATATTAGACTGATTGCCAGAGGTGGACAGTAACTAAGTACATTTACTTGAGTATTGTACTTAAGTACACTTTTTGAGTATTGAATATATTCCATTCGATGACACTAGTGGCACAGAAATTACACATTTCAGCTTTAAATGACATTAAATTTCTCAATGACAATTACACCCCTGGAATACAGTGTTTTGGCAGCAGCACTGTATATCACAGGGAAATAGACCGAAAACCAGTCATGACAGTAGACGCTTCACAGCTTCAGCTGACAGTTAACACAAGGAAAGAAGCACTTTATGTTTAGTGGGTCAGCAAAAACTAAACATCAAATTCATATAAATGCTGCAATGTTTAATTAGCACATGCAGACACTAATTAATGGAGACTGCTAAGAGGCACAAACAAACACCCACCTATACAGCACAATAAAGATTCTCGCGGTGTATTTAGCATGTAAATAGAGAGCTTCCATACTGTTAGTACAAATGAAAATTTCACAGTTATGTATATCGTATTGCTCATAAAGCATTAAGCATCCTGTCCTCTTCAGGGAAAGCTTCATTGCAACACACATTTCATTCACTTTCCCATTTGCCTCACACTGTGCTTTTGATAGATTGTGGGATAAATATATCATCGCCGAGATGAGATGATAATAAGATTCATAATGACATAACAGCTAAGTTGGGATAACAAATGCTAAGAAATTGCCTCAGAACCTCCTAACTTACTGTGTTTGTCAACGTCTGAGATCTTCCAAAAGCTTGCATGACCTTCCTAGAGTCAGTTTTATGACACCTCTGTAATCATGATGTTCACCTCATTAACTAACTGAAGCATGTTATAATGCTATTCCAAATTTTTATTCCAAGTTAAATGTGTCTGTGGAAATGTGAACCGTAAGCTCAAGGTCAAAATTCACCAGGGGACTCTGGGAGAAATGAAAATTACATATTTTAATCATCATAAAAAAAGAGTGGGAAAGAGATGATTTGAATTCCGCGGTCTGGCAATAAAAAAAAGACTAGAAAAAGATTACATCTCAGTCTATGCGGCAGCTACAGAAAAGAAAATTACAGCTTTTAAAAGACCTTTTGACTTTGTAGTGCTACAAGGTAGAGCCATTGAACAAGCAGTTGTAAACAAGATAATAGTATAATTTATCACTAGAGCGATATTTCTGGCTTAATGCAAAGCTGTTTTGTTTTAGCCTATTATAAGCGTTAGCTCATTATAGGATTATTTCCTCCCTCATTTTAAGGTCAGGTTTTGAGATTCCAATGAAATACTGAGGGAAATTGTGCTAGTCCACACTTACAAAAGAATGCTTGTAAGCTTCTCTGCAATGTTGTTGAATACGTATTACTTACTCCTGTCTATTGTCGCAATTTGGCATTCAGAAAAGACTCAGCTGCAGCAACGTGATCTACGACTGAAATATTTATTTTCTGCTGAGAATGTTCTGCGATTGCTTTCCCGAAAGTAATGTGCCTAATGGTGAAATGATGCCTGCCAAAAATGACAGTAAATGACTGTGATGGTTTTTGGAAAAGGCTTTGATGACTGATTTTACAGTAGCGCTGCAATGTTTCTGGAAGCTGCTTCCTTTAGGCGAACAGCAGGGAAAATTATACGCTAAAGAAGTCTGAAATACCATTTTATGCTAAAAGCTTTAAAATGATCCGAACTATACTGCATTACAAATGTAAACATGTTAAAGGAATAGAGCACCCAAAAAAGAAAAATGTCCATAATGCTCTTTTCCTTTCAATGAAAGTGAATAGTGACCAGGGGCTATCAAGAAGTACCACAAAGTACCATAAAAATATCATAAAGGAAATCTATATGACTTGTTCATTATATTGCAAGACCATTTTTATGATACTTTTATGGCGATTTTTGTCATTTTTAAAGCTTGACAGCCTCTAGTCTGCAATTTACTTTCATTGTATAGAAAAGAACAGTGTGAACATTGTGTTAAACATCTAAATTTCTCACAAAAAAAAACAAAAATCAAAGGTTTAGATTAACATGAGGGTGAGTGAATGATGACAGAATTCATTTAGTTGAGTGAACTACCTCTTTAAAGTCAAAGAGCATAGTGCACATCAAATTAAAACCAAGTAAAAAACTGCCACAAAGCAAATCAGTTCAAAGGGCCCCTGCAGACAGATTCACCTTTACTGGGGTTACAAAGCGTCCGCACTACCTCAAAAGATGAATGATCATGTCAGGTAAAACCAACCAACAGTATCAGAGCGGAGATCGAAGCATGTGGAAAAAGCCCTGAAAGCACAAAAGAGCTGTAAAATAAAGGGACAAGATAGAAGAAAACAAAATCAATTCTGGAATGACAGACAGCTGACAGCTTCAAAAAATAAAAAATAAAAAGTAGCTCTATTTGGCCAGTGGCTTATATTGCACTTTTGTATTGTGCCTTGGTGTTCTTGCACTATGTGCCTTTATATTTTTAATATTGATTTTTCATTGTGTAACTTGTTTAAACTACTTGTGGTTTTTCTGGTCTGTTGGAAGAACTGTGTAGACAGGACTTTTAATGCACTTGTTTGCAATGCCAAACAAAACAAATGTTGACAGCACAAAAGTGCTTGTAGCACAAATCAATAAATAATTGTGGGTAAATTCGTCAGCCATGCCCCGAAACAATCAACAAAAAACAAAGAGCTTCCAGGAATATGTGAAAAATGAAAACTGATGAGACATCTTATGATCTAGTACTCAGAAGTGAATCATCTTTCTTATTTTGATACTGCAATGATGCAAAAATATGCTTGATTTAGTAAAACATCATATATTAATATAATATATAATATTTATGTAAATAAACAACAAAATTTTATCTTGCATTACTAATATTTTTGATTTCATTATTCTTATTCTATATATATATATATTATGTCTGTGTGTTTATATATATATATATACACACACACACACACACACAAATAAAATTGATATATAGTGCGTTTATGTATACACACATATGCATACAAATATATTCATTCTATATTTTTTATATTACGAATAATTAAATGTTCAATATTTTTTCTATCTATCTATCTATCTTAAAAAATAACATTTAATATAACATTTAATATATAATATTTAATTATTCGTAATATAATAAATATATAATATTAAATTATATTTATATTTATAATACACACCCAACACTTGATTAGAAATTAATTTGTCCAAAACAAAATGTCTGTTGTATTTGCATGTGGGTGAAGCTGAAAAGATTCTGTGATCATCAATCTGAGATGTGCCAAGATGTGCACTGCAAATCCACCTACAGTGCATTGTGCAAAAGACAAATGGGAACATTTAGGGTATGAACCTTTCCCAGGCGACCTTTAAAATCCTCATGGAGGCAGCCCGTCGTGTTAACTCTGAATTATACTACACACATCTTCCTACAAAGCTGCTAAATGACCTTCGTCTCAGACTGCATGCAATGGTTAACGGATCTTTCAAGAGGTGGAAATTAACATTAAATTACAGCAATGTGAAGATTAGCTGATACTGACTAATGTGTTTAATTAAGATGCTAGGGAGAACCCTCCATTAACTGCTCAACCTTTGACATGTTATTTCCGACGCCATGAGTGCATGGGGAACTTCAGAAACATAAAATGAGTGCCAAGCAACTTTTGATGGAGTGAAAGCAATAAGTAAGCTCATGGTTTTTGATGGAAAAACTTCAGCAAGAACATTGCTTCTATACTGGGGATTTTGATTAATTCCAGTGACTCAAATCTTTTGATTCCATTCACCAATAAGATTTGTTCTTTCTGTAAATTATATAATTAGCCTGAAACAATCATTTCAAACAAATGTTTCATCTATTGTGAGTCACTGAATCAATCATTGAATCATTGAGTCATTCACACCCAAAACGAGTTTAGTTATGCCTTATTAAACTTTATAAGTCTTCAAGTCAGCTAAAAGATGAAGAAATAGCTTTTAAGCACAATAAGCTCTTTCATGAACAAAGACAATAAAGCAGATTGATTTGTTTTCCTCCATTTTGTCGACTAGAGCTGACTTTTATCAAGCAACCAAAGCAGTCATGCACTTCACAAGGGAGATTTTCAGCGTCAGTGGAAGAGAAAGAGAACGATTCATTCACTTAAAAAGATTTCTTCAAAAATTCATTCAGATTCATCCCTTTTGGCTAGTTTGTCACGGTTTAAAATAATCCTGAACAAACAGCAAATTAAAAAAGCATCAGAAATGTAATGAGCCTAATCCTGGCCAATGAAAAATGTTTAAATTCAATCTCTGTCAGATAAACTTCTGCTATTCCCAAGAAAAGGACATCTTGGTCTGAAAGTCGAGCAATTACTTCAACGCTAGCTTTCAAGCTGAACTGTATCTGTCTGATCCTGATATCTCGTCACACTTAGCCAGAAGGCCTACCTTTTGTCGAATCTCCTCCTCCATTTTGACGGGTGATCCATACTCAGCCACCTGCTTGACTCCTTCACTGGCGAAACCTCCATACTCCCATAACATATAGCTTCTCGAGTGAGATGCGCCAATGAGAGCCGACCAATGATTAGCACGTCCTTTGGGACAGAAACAACAGTGGTGAACAAATAACAGATCTTTCAACCTACAGCTTAATACAATGTTAAATCCTCCCAGATAATTGCACTTCTGAAGTAACTTGTTCTCTAGTGTGTATCTTCAAAATCTAAGCCTCTACTCTTGTCTCTCTTTAAGGAGCCTACCGCATACATCACCGTCTGTTTCCACAGACCCATTAACTAGCAGCAGTGCGCTATGAGACAACATCCGCCCGGCTTCTCTTATCTCACAAAGTATCACAGTCCAGGCTGTAGTCCTGCCTGCTTGCCAGAGAGTAAATAACAGATTAGATCATTGCTTCCACACACATAGGAAATGAACCAGCTCTTCTGCTGACTGCTATATTAGCAAACCAGCCCTGAGAGCTAAAGCTGCAGGAGAAAGAGATTGCTGGCCACCTCTGCCCATGTTCTCACTCTTTCTACAAGCCACTTTGTTCAAATTTTCAAGTTTGAGATGTAAAATCAGCGTGGCATCAAAATATATCAAGAATGTGTTTTCAGTGCTCTTTAAAACTCAACTGTAGTACCTGACTGTTAAAACTACATTTTTGCAATTAATTAAAAAAAATATGAGTGTGTAAATCTTTGCCACTTTACACTTATAAAGATGCTGGACGATTTCAAACACTTATTTCAAAATGAAACAGAACTTGGAAAATGCAAACACTGAACTTGATGCAAATCTCCAATGATTCGATAATATAGCTAATTTCTTACATTTCATTTACTTTCATATACTTACATTTCACACTAATTAATCACTAAATTTTCAGCATCACATCTACATTTTATTTGATTTATAGTACAGATAAATGTGACCCTGGACCACAAAACCTCTGTGTTAAGTTGCTGGGGTATATTTGTAGCAATAGCCAAAAATACATTGTAGGGGTCAAAATTATTTATTTTTCTTTTATGCCAAAAATCATTAGGACATTAAGTACATGTTCCATGAAGATATTTTGTAAATTTCCTACTATAAATATATTAAAACTTAATTTTTGATTAGTAATATGCATTGCTAAGGACTTCATTCAGCTTTCAGATGACGTATAAATCTCAATTTCAAAAAATTTACCCTTATGACTGGTTTTGTGGTCCATGGTCACAAATTACAAAATGAAACAGTAATGAATGCCAAACTTGTAAAAATGTAATACCAGGTAAGGTACCATAATTTGCAAAATGAAGATATCATACAGCTGTAAATGTGTTTTATAGGCAGTATACTGCACAATGTACCTCACAATGTGATCATATTATATTAAAATATAATATTTTATATAATATTGAATCATGTTAATCTGTTGATTTATTAATATTATTTATTAATTTGAATTAGCTTATTATATTAGTTTTCATTTTAATGGTACAATTTTTTTTACTGTATGTGCTTTTGTTATTTTTATTAGTTTTTAAAAATATAATCTCTGTTTATATTTAATTTATATAAATTTTAGTTTTATCTTTAGTCATTTTAGTACTTCAATGTAAACATTTCATTTAGCACCCTTTTTGATTTTTAAGCTTTTTAAGTTGAAGTTCTCTAATATTTCTACTTTATTCCAGCTTTATTTCAATAAATGAACACTTTTAAAATGTGTTTTAATTAACAATAACAACACTGATGTGAGTATTGTGCTCATGTGTCACAAAGGGTTTGTTCTTACTTGGGTAGTCTTTGGGATGCACCTTCTCAGACCAGTTTCCATAGAAAGTGACTCTATACTTGGCTGTTCCACAAGCACAGCACTCTTGCATGGGTTTTTCAGTCATCGCAACTGGATCTGCAACGTTCAGAAGATGATAGTTATTTAACTTAAATTGCATTGTGTCCATTATTTCCATTTTACATCCTTATTTTCAACCAACTGCTGAGAATCTACGTTTCTCCTTTTCTTGTCACATAACAATGCACATGTGCATTTAACTGCCTCCTTCCACACACACTCTACATAAACATTAAACATACAAAAATTGATGTGGAATGAATTAAAACAACCATTTACAAGGCATATTTTATTTAGAAACATCAAAAACAGATGACAGAAAAAGAGGTCTGTTCATGCCAGGAAAAAAAATAAACTTTGTAGATGTAAAAATGCTATCAGTGGGGATGTGCATGAGAAACCCAGCTTTAAAATTACCTTTCTCGCAGAGTCTTTTGGTAAGTGAGCCCTCATCTTGGAAGAAAATTATTCTTCGCTGTACAACACTGGCCCTGTAATGAAGACATTACAATGTTCATCCAACTTTTTCTGCCTTTTGTCTGTCTTTTAGATATAGTTCTGAGAAAGTGCGCTTTTACATTTACTGTACCACCATTATCGCATTCAAAATTGTATTGTAGTGGGAACAGACAATGCATCTTTTTAACAAAAGTCAGGTTAATGCTACATTTGCAAAATGCTACTACCCGAGAGCATATTTCAATGACTCCAGTCAGCATCCTGAATGCTGTAAACAGTTCGGCTTTTAAAATGAAGCCATATAGAGACATCAACTGATGTCAATATGTTTAGCAAGAGTTGGAGGAAAAAGCAAATGTATTCAAGAGTACCATCTATATTCAGGGGGCGGTGGAGGTTTGAATCTCTTTTAAAGCTGCCGCTGATGGAGTACCCCAGAGACTGAGCCACACTTGGCTTAAATCGACCCATGTGGAATATCAATGGCGAGTCCTGCTACTGTCCCACTAGAGCCCATTGCCATTGCTGTCAGTCAAGGATGTGGCATGCGGTAGGTCTGACCATAACGCTATGCCCTCCTGAGAATAATCCCACATGTTATATGTGGGTGGCTTACAAGAGAATCTGCTGCTGGCCTTATCAAAATGTGAAGGTGTCTGGAATATGACAGATTTTTGGCTCATCTGGGCTTTACAAAGTGCATTTTCAGAAATTGAGTAACAACCAAATTTGACATAGAAAAGAACCTTGAATGCTGTTCCTCTTCATGGCCCTTTCACTGCAAACACAATGCAAAAGAAACAAAACGAATTGCCACCCGATTTTGTTAGGTTAGTAGCTAAAATAAAGTAAATAAAGTGGGATCAAATCATAAGATATATTTAATATTTGAATTACTGCAGAGTAGCACACTGTTTGACAGAAAATGTTTGAATGCCGTTTCCCTTTAAGCTCCTTTCACAACAACCACTGTACAAAAACAGCTATGTGACTCGCTGACAAATTAATTTATTTGTTAAATTAGCAGCAACAATAAAGTAAATCATGTGCAATCAAGTCTACAAGTGTATTTGTACTAATTAATTATTATAAATTATGTAATTACAGCAAGTTTAAATTAAGTTCAAATTTTGCATACAATGAATTGTTGAACCTGACTTTTATGCATATATATTTTTAAAATGTTTAAAAGGAACTATATACATTAATGCATTAACTACAATGTGTGTATAACTATAATGAATAATATACTATTTATTACATTTGTAGTAAAATTGTTTAATAAAAATTTTATTTAAGTAATATGTGACCCTGGACCACAAAAGCAGTCTTAAGTCGCTGGGGTATATTTGTAGCAATAGCCAAAAATACACTGTATGGGTCAAAATTATAGATTTTTCTTTTATGCCAAAAATCATTAGGATATTAAGTAAAGATCATGTTCCATGAAGATATTTTGTAAATTTCCTACCGTAAATATATCAAAACTTAATTTTTGATTAGTAATATGCATTGCTAAGAACTTCATTTGGACAACTTTAAAGGTTAATTTCTCAGTATTTTTATTTTTTTGCACCCTCACATTCCAGATTTTCAAATAGTTGTATCTCGGCCAAATATTGTCCTATCCTAACAAACCTTATTTATTCAGATTTCAGATGATGTATAAATCTCAATTTTGAAAAATTGACACTTAAGACTGGTTTTGTGGTGCAGGGTCACATATGTGCAAAAAAATACTGATGGCAATAAATTGTCTCATACAGAGAAAAAATTTGAATGTTTGTAGAATATTTATGTGACAAATCACAGGTTATGCCTGTAATCCAAACACATATGTTCATGGACCCTTAACAGTGGTCAACGAAGTATGACTGCTCAAGTCTTGATCCACTCTTCTCAAAACTTCTTAAGACGTCTCCTCTGTTGGTATTTGGTCTTGATCGTCTCATCTAAGCCATTTATCTTCAGAGTCCCAAAGCTTGTCAACAAAACCATCATGTCTACCACATCTTAACTGCCTTCCACAGCTTGATGGCACCAAAGAATCAAAGGAAACAAAAACCAGATCAAAACTTTCTTCCAATCCCTGGTCTGTTTGACATTTCACTAGAAAAGTGCTGGAGGGATTCCAGATGTAATTGCACTTTTATTTGATGTTCATTGGGCGCTTTTGCCAGTAGTGTTTCGGAGCCTGAGCGCTGGCATTCAGCCCGGTGCTACAAGGTGCAATGTCTCCACGGTTCTGACACGCCAAGGCAAAGTGACAGCAGATTCAGATTCATGTTGGCACAGCAGATGCTTCCCTGAAAATGTTTATTGGAAAAAAACAGACATCCCTGCCCTAATAAGACAGATGGGTAAATTAAAAGCTACAATAATAATTCCTTGAGTTCACAGATGGACGAAGATGAGACCTGGGTAGGTGATATGGGTTCCAAGTGAGGTGGAGGAGAGACTGCTATCCTTTTTGAGAAGTTAAAAAAGACAGGGGACAGAGACGGGATGAAAAAGATGAATGAGTAAGAGGGTGATAGAAAGAGAACAGGAGAGAATGAGAAAACCGTGCAGGAGGAAGCTAGCTCATAAATACTCATACTGTGAAGGTTATAATTGTCTCTACATCAATTTCATTTCACAACTGCTACACAAGCAGATTAAAATCTGCTTTACTAAGTAAACTAAAAAGACATTCAGGGGCTCATTTAAGCAGTTGCATCACTTTTAGATGCACTGTTTCAATGGAAAAAAGTTCAAGCCACAAACCTGTTGAAATACCGGTACTGTGAAAATATTAAGGATCGCTTATTCAACTCTCAATCATCCATTGCACTACAACAAAGGGTTTAAAGGGTTAGTTCCAACCAGATCTCACGAGAAAACAAATATTTTACAATATGGCAATCTTGTATTAACATTGTATGAAAATGTAAAATAAAAAAAATAAAAAATGTAAGCATGATCCACCCCAACCCTAAACCTAAATATAAGTCACTGGGGTGTAAGCAGATCATCTCAGTGTACGAATGAGATTGTACAAATTATGATTTAGCCACCAATTCCCCAAATGTAAAATAGACATGAATTACCATGTGATTGTGTTGCAAGTTTACCCAAAAATGAAAATTCTGTCATCAATTATTCACCATCACTTGATTTCAAATCCAGAAGACTTTCATTCAACTTCGAAACACAAATGAAGATATTTGAACCTTATATTTAAACCTGAGAGATTTCTGTTTCTCCATCGAAAGTCCATTCCACCAAAACTTTGAAAAATCTTCAAAAAGTTCATAAAGACATTGTAAAAGTAATCCATATGAGTCAAGCGGCATAATCCAAATCTGCGCTCAAAATCGCATAATGTCTAGTAGATACTACATATGAATTAAAAATTACTTCATAACCGTTAAAAAAAAGATGTTCTATATAGTTTTATTCATTTGGGTGGTATGAATAAAGTGTCCATTGAGTATCCATGCACACTTCAGAATCTCGGCAAAAGTAGTAGGTCAGCCAGATACTTTTCGGCTGTTTTTCGGACATACTACTCTTTTCACACACTGTTTTTCACCTACTATACAGTATGGAAGTAGGACACAGTGCAGGTCTTCTGAAGAGACACAACTGCATGACCGAACTTGACACGTGAGAACAAACCTCACTGGTTTTTGAAACACCTCAAACATGCTTGCATGACATATGAAAACAAACCTTATTAGTTCTTGAGAAACCTCAAATGTGCTTGCGTGATGCACAAGAACAAATCTCACTGGTTCTTGTGGAACCTCAAACGAGTTTGCGTGACACGTGAGAACAAAACTCATTGGTTCTTGCATGTAAGACAAGCACGTTACGCTTACAATATTTGAAGCTCTTCAAGGGCTCAGGTGATTGGCTCAAAAACAGTCCAGAACTGAGTGTCCATGAGCAAAACTGGCAGATATCAAATGGCATACTTCCCATTAAAATGAATGAGAATGTTAATCGATAGCTTTTTCCTGGTATTATAGACCTCACTGGTTCACAACAAGTGTAAACAGGCCAACAGAGTGGCATTCAGAGGCTTTCAGAAAGTGAGAGTTGTTGTAAAGGGTGTTTTGAGGGTTGGCACCCATAATGTGGAAAAATGCATATATGCACCACAACGTGTCCAACTTGGAGCAAAAAGAGAGACTTTCAGATGTCTTTAATGCATCAAACACAATTAAAGTTGTTTATAACCTCAAAACAGGATAAGACAGCATGAAAGCATGAGGGGGTGGAGTGGAAACACCACAACACCAACAGATAATTCAGATTTTGTTTGGTTGAAGACCACTGTAACTCAAGTGGGAGGATGTTGTTTGGATTCTCAGAATATTTTCAAGCTTTCAACGTTTTTTTAACGATAATCATCTGATTCGCAGCCTCCTATAGATGATGGGAACACTCAAGGGCAATTTCAATGGCTCAATATTAACATACAATAACTGCCCAACATCAATCAATCATAATCACATCTTCTATCGATGGCCCAACATTTATTTCTGTTTATTCAGCTTCAGATATGATTGGAAAAGACTGTTTTCCTTTTTCAATACTTTCCCAAAACGTGACTGATAAAACACTGACTAAATGAGACAAGAGCTCAGACTCAGTATTGTATTCTAGACACTAAACTCAGTATAGAGCCCCAGACTGTACCCCCTGTTCTGTCTGTTTTCTTTTCTATTTATTCAACAATCTATCAGTTCAGTACCACAGGCTTTCATCTATCAGCCTAAATCCATGGATTCTCATTCATTTATTGCTATCCAAGGCCAGAATAATAGTAAAAATAAAAATAATACAATAACTCACTTGAGAGTGACACAACCACTGCCAGAAGGTGGCGCTGTCCAGAACACCTGTATCCTTGTGCGTCTTCTGGGAATGCTCTCTGAGACGGCCGGGGGGCAGTTAGTCATAAACTGCGTGTCACTTTCATCAATAAGCTGTGGAACAGGGAACATTGTAACTTATTTCATGTTTTTAAAAGAAGTCTCTTATGTTCATCAAGGCTGCTTTCATTTGATCAAAAAACAAAAAATAGTAAAACTGTGCAATATTATTATAATATAAAAGCTGTTGTTTTTTCATATTTATAAAATGTATATTTAACATAATATATTATATTATTTTTATATAATGTATTTATTGTAATGTATTCCTGTGATGTAAATAATAAGATCCTTCAGAATAACATGATCCTACAGAAATCATTCTAATATGTTGATTTGGTGCTCAAGAAACATTTCTTATTATTATTATTATGCTGAAAACAGATCTGCTGCTTGATGTTTTGTGGAAACTATGATACTTTTTTTAGATTTATTTGAGGAATAGAAAGAACAGAAATAAATCTTTCGGTAACATAAATGTTTGTATTGACATTTTTAATCAGCTAAAACTTTTTAATGTAGTAGTATATAGCATAAATAACTACAGTATCATTTAAAAGACTTGAAATATAGTGCACCTAGTCATGTGGACCACTTTTATTTTATTCATTTTTTCTTTTACTTTTATGAAGTTATACAGACTGTTATACACTATGAAATGTCATTTTTGTTCCATGGCAGAATAAGAGCATACACATTTGAAACATCACAGGGATGAGTAAATCATTTTCATTTTTAGGAGAGCCTTGGAAATAAAACAAAAACAAATGGCATTCAGAATTCCAAGATTCTAATTAATTTCATTTTTTTAGTCCAATTATGCAACAGTTTCCAAATAAACAGTAAACTAGTACCATAAATGAGCTCAGTGATGTAGAATCAAATTTCATTTTGTGGGCCAGGATGACTAACTGTACATGACAGCCCTTTCAACATCTTTCAGTGCAGAGGACAAATATTTGTAACTGACGGTTCTGTGCTACTTAAACCTAGAGCTCATGATAACCCACGAGGCAACATTTTGACACACTTAACTACTAGGCCCTTCAACATTTGTTGCAACTTTTGAAAAAAAAAAAAAGTCAGTAATTGAGAAAAATGCACTGCTCTAATCCACACACATGAATTGGCTTTTTAAAATGTTGATTAAACGCCTGATTATAACGCTCTTCTTTATCATTTGGTCATCATTCGATGAATTACTGCTTCCATTATAACTAAAAATTTAATTTAAACTTCCATTTTTATAACATTGTTTAATCACTCATTTTCCTCAGGCGGTAATATTGTAAAGAGAATTGTGCCAAGCAAATAGCACTGAGCTTTGTGAAAAAAGTTATATAATAAGCCTAATTTACAAAGAACGTAGTGTATTTATGCTAAAAAGAATGACAGCAAAAAACAGTCACTGTCTGGTTGAATGAGATTTTGAGTGCTTAGTAAATGAGCCCTGAAATACCTCATGCAAAACCATTTAGTAAATTCACCCTAGAATTTATAGAAAAGAGCTAAAAAATATATAATTATTATTATTTGTCCCATGTGTACTTTTGCACATTTTATAAGTTAAAAATAAATAAATAAATAAATAAAAGTACATGTAATATATGTCTTCCAGATATATATTACTGCTACTGTTTGTAAAATCACATTGTCCAAGTGATGGAAAATTCCAGTGGGGATGGAAAAGTACAACTTTGTTTGCATGTTTCAAAACGAAATCGCTGCCAAATGTCCATCGAAGAGTAAAATCCATGCGCGTGGTGCATTAAGTTCTTCCTCCCTCTTTCTCACTCTCTCTCGTTCTCTCCATTTCCACTTCCCACTCTTTCACACACATACAGTCATGCAAACCCAAATCTGCACACAGTATCCTCTGGTTCTGTCCTTCATTTCTGCAAAGAATGTAAAAGCTGCAATTTTGGCATCTCAAGCAACCTTGTCACACCCTTGTTCAGACTAAAAACAAAACAGTGAACCGGAAACTTCTGAATTGATAGGGAAACTAGGCTAAACTTTGTAAAGATATGCTTGAGCTGTAGGACTGTGCAACAGTCGCTCTCCAAGTGTTTATTTTAAAAGAGGCCATGCAGGCCAAGCAGCCCGGTGCATTGTTTCCTGGGTAAAAAGGGGCTGTAAGTGGCTGCCTTAAAAATGCTGCAAACCAGCTGGGGGAAAGTTGTACAAAACAGAGGAGAGGAGAGGCGTGTTTGTTTTAATTGTGGCTCCTGGCGAGACTGTGTGGCCCTGCTCCTGAGGGACAGCGAAAGCAGTTTTCTGTTTGCTCTCTTAAACTCTCCCTCTTTCAGTTTGTCTCTCTCGCAAGCACAAAACTCTGTGGCTTGAGTGAATAACCACGCCTCCTGAAGGAATTGGGGACGTCTCGTCTTCAAGGGGTTCCTTGGAGAGATTAAGTGAAACGAATGGCGAGATGTCGCAATGCTTATTTCGACCATGCTGGTTTGGCTTGAGAGCTGTTTGTCAATTCGTGGTAGCATAAGAAGTGCAACAGCTTTGTATATGAACTGTCATGATGACTGATGAATATGAATATTTTGAAAGCCACGGTTAACAGACACGGGTAGCAAACAACTCGGAATGAGGTTACGTCTGCAAACGAAAACTTTTCTGAGTTTAACATCTAAAACACTTCAATGAAACAGGAAAATGTAATGCAGAAAACATCCAGAAAGGTTTTACCCTGGAGATAATGCAGGTCACGGTCAGGGTCATTGATCAAATTACTAAACTGAAGTAGAATGAACATCTCATAGATTTAAAGCCTCACCCAGCAAATGCGAATGCAATCATTTTCAATGGGCAAAAATTACATTACACAAGAGCAACCTAATAAATGGGTCGAGCTCCCTGCTAAACTTGGGCTTGTAAAAATAGATTCTCATGTTATAAATTGTGTCATTATACTACAGAGGACACGTTAATGTTTCTCTCAGACATTATATCACAGAATATATTGTATATATAAATATAAAAAAATGAGATGCTGCTCACTTTTTAAATCCTGGACTATTCCATTCAAAAATACTTTATAAAAAAAATATAAACAGGGCTTCAGTAAAATAAAGAACTTGAATGAAAAATATTTTACATTTCTGAATTCTAGTAAAAAAAAATATTCAAGTAAACTTCAAATATATTTCATGGTTAATATTTCTATACAAAATACTAAAAATCAGATTTCAAATAAAATAGCAATTTACAGAAATATACTGTAACATTAAATCCACACACACACACACACACACACACACATATATATCACACACACACACACACACACACACACATACAGTGGGTACGGAAAGTATTCAGACCCCCTTAAATTTTTCACTCTTTGTTATATTGCAGCCATTTGTGTATGTATGTATGTTTATGTGTGTGTGTGTGTATGTATGTGTGTATGTATGTATGTATGTATGTATGTATGTATATGTCTATATACTAAGGCAGTGTGGCATAACCAACACACAGGAAGACAATAAGAATGTAAAACATGAAAAATATTAAATTATTTTACAGAGAAGACTCCTGTAGACTGTGTATAGTCATATTTCGACTTTTTTAAACGCAAGTCAAGATCAAATGGTGTAACCCTAAGATAAATGCATGATTCACTTGCAAAACAAACAAACAAATGCCATGAACAGTGTCTGAAAGCCACTTTTTAGAGTCAACTATAAATATATATAAACTATAAAAAAATCTAAAATTCATGAAACAAAAATGAATACAAAGATTACATTTTTTTTTTTTTTTAATTGCACTTGTGTTTTGAACATTTTAAAAATAATTTTCATTTTCAACACATCGAACATCATTTTTCGTCATTGCTCCAAATACATTTAGAACAAAACCACGGCTTTTGTCATTTTGTCTCTTGTCATTTTGCAGTTACCTTTATTGTGTTTTTCGTTCATTCAATTTAGTCTGTCAAGACGAGAATCCCCAGTTAAAGACCTCAACAGAGAATGTCTGCTAACATCCGCCAGGCAATCTGTGCGCTGAAAAACACAGTGGTAAGGAGTGCAGAGCGCCGACCACAGCTAATGAGATCTGGGGGGAGAAAGCCTTCCTGCTTCAGTCTGGGAAGCACTGCGGCTTGATGTGGAGAGCACTAAATGATAGGGGTCCTGTCTTTCGGAGAAGACACGGCTCTAGGATGGTCAGTGTGTTACCAATGAGGAGCAGCATGTCTGAGACTACTTCACACAGTTCTGCTTGCTGGCAAAAGATGGATCTGAAATCCTTAAAACACTTAAACCTCTGTTGCATGACGTCCACTACAGCCATTTTTATCTAATCAGGGGTGATTTCCTTTGACCTTTAATTCCATAACTTTTCCCATTATATGTTAGTGTTTTTTTTTTTTTTACTTATGGCAACATAAAATCAAAGACCACCAATAGAAGTGTTGATGCACCAAGTACCCCTGGAATATTATCTCAAAATGCATAATTTTGGGTGAAGAAAAAAAAAGATCGGGAATGATCACATAAATAAATAATAAATAAAATAATGCAATATAATTATAAATATTTTAAAACATTTTGTCTCCCAAAAGTCTAAAGAAAACTTGATACTCAAGACTGAAAAATAACAAGAAATATGCAGTTGAAAGCCACTTTGTAGAGTCAATAATATTACTTTTCTCTTTATATGTTAGTGTTTTTTAATGACGACATCAAATCAAAGTGGCCAATAAAAGTGTTGATGCACCAAGTAAGTATACCTGGAATATTTCCTCAAAAATACACAATTTTGGGTTAAAAAAAAAGAAGAAGAAAGATTGAAAAAAAAAAAGAAGATTGGGAATGATCGCACAACCAAAAAGAATACAATGATTATTAATTCCATAACTTTCCTCTTTATATGTTAGTTTGTTCATGTTTTTTTTTTTTTAACAACAACATAAAATGAATCTGGCCAATAAAAGTGCTGATGCACCAAGTTATCATTTTGGGCAAGAATAAAAAAAATGTGTACGATCACGTTGTTTTGAAGAAAGTTGTGTTTTTTTTATTTTACTTCATGCATCAAAGGGTTAATGATCATTTTTCTTCCTAAAACATACCACATCTAAATACAGACGTGCCGACGCAACCCGACATAAACTGCAAATTTTGCATAGACTGCAATTAGAATGTCATCTTTGACTGCCACAGTTCAAGGCGGTTATACGGGGTCACTGCAATCCCTCACCTTGAAAGTGCCAGCGTAATCATCAGGAGTGACGCCCTCCCTTCCTTCCTTCAGAGCAATGAGGGTAAAGCCACGAAAGTAAGATGGGCTGGAGGCATACAAACTCACTGGATAGAGAGAGAGAGAGAGAACAAAATATAGGTCAGAGGTACCAGAAATGAGCTTAACAGTAGGTCAGATCTTAACAGTGTGCCAGGGCAAGTCGCGAACTGCTCTCGCATTTGGCATGTACGTTTGCATGTAAGTGTGTGGGTTGTGCAAGTGCTTTTCACATGGAGCGTTGAATACATATGCATGTACAAACACGCTGGGCATAACACCCTCATAAAAAGGCATCTGCTGCTTAATGAAGGCCACTTACACAAATCCAAATTGCAGTGAATATCAGGTTATGGAGCGTTTTGATATTAAAATTATCCTGACAGGTAAATGATCACATAAACATTCAAATATAACCCAGGTTATACTGAAAAATAACAGTTGTAATGTTTTTGAACAAATTCTCACTTGTGTAGGTAGGACTGGTTAATAACAGTTTGTAACCGTTTAACCGGTTAGAAATGACCATGATCCTTCTAAGGTGACAGTAAAAGCTATTAACTGTGCGAAAACAAAGGATATAAAGGACAAAAACACATTTTGAAAGTATAATTTCATATTATTATGATTGAAAACCCAATTATAATGGACATTAAATTGCAGAACTGGTTTCATCTGAATCAGCAGGTTTCATTTGACATAGTGTATGACAATATTAAATCTACATTAAAAAAAACTAGAAATAGAAGGACTGACAAGACATTGTGGCTGTAACACACTTTTATACTAAAAAAAGGGACTAAACAATACAGAATACATTTGCAACACTTGTTAGGGTCGTACGCTTAGAGTTTAAAATATTTCTATATTTGTTATTCAGTGTTTTGAATGAAAATGTTTTCAATAAAATGGCAGTGAAATTTGAACACATGAATGTGATTATCAAAATAAATCCATGCCCAAAGTATCAACTCAAAATATCCAATAGAACATTTCTATTAGTGTTATAGCCTAGTATGGCAGTGTTGTAACTACAGCACTTTTCATCCTTGACACTAATTTACAGTAAAGCTATAAGTTGTACGTTTAACCTACTTTAAGCAGACAAATCTGTGAATATTACATCGAAATTTGAGGCATCCAGCCAAAGAAAGACAAAGCTAGAAGCATTTAAACAATGTGTTAAACTCCCAGTCTCCATTATTCGAATGTACTCTTTGGTAAACATGCTAGGTTTTAGTGCTGCAAAATATACGTTTTTCGAAACTCTCTCCAATATGTACTCATATTCACCATATAAAACGCTTTTCAGCATTTTAGTGTCAGCCAACCTGGTTTACCTGTGGAAGATGCACTAAAGATGACGTTTTACGCACCAATGTTTACAAACTCCACACATGATGTTTTTGCCCAGGGGTGCACTAAATGCCTCTTAAATTGGCCAAACAGCAACATTTTGTGACATCTAACCTCTGTAAGTGTTCCCGGGTTGGTAAGTTTCTGGGTCTCCTTCAACTCTGATGCGAAACTCGTTCTCTCCGTCTCTCCGAGTGCCCCGCGTCTGCGTCCGCAGGATCCGGCAGAACCCCCCCTCGGATCTCGACTGTCTCTCCGCGGTATCTCTTCTGAACGCATCCGTATGGATAAAAAGCACATTCAACAAAACTAACAGCACAACCAGTCCGTCTTTGGCCATCATTTCCCTTTCTTTGCCTGTCCAAACACAAGTTTAGGGTCTAGTACCAGCAAGAAAACGCAGTCAAAGAACTGGAAAAGACGGTCAAAACAAACAGAAGCATTAATCGACCAAACTTGTCTATTTTGGGGTCCATTCACGATTAAAAGAGAGCAAAGACGCCGTATCCATTCCCACTGAGGAGATGTGGAGATTGCGGACCACTGATAGTCCCGTGCCCGGAGCGCGAGATTGATTGAAGGCGAGCGCGGAGACAGAAGACTCAGATGTTGACTTTACTCAAAGGATATTCACACTGAGAAATGCCTACTTGGTCTCCTTGATAACCGAGCTCAGACTTAAAGAGAATAGATTCAGACTTTAAACAAAACCTAGACATAGACGCCTGACATTCTTGGTGAGACGCTCTGAGGAGAAAGACAGATCGCGAATGTTTGAACAGCCGTAAGCTGCAGCAGCGGGAGAAAAGAATCACAGGGGGCTGCGCACTAAGGAGACATGGAGGATGATTTTGGGAACTCCTCCGTCTGTTATGCTTGTTTATGCAAGGAAATGATTTGAGGGCTCATGTTTTTAATTTGAGGAATTAACTGCATTTTTATTACTGGTCCAACAGTCTTTTAAAAGAAGATATTTCCCCCCATATTACATAATCAAGCAGTATCGCACTGTGTTGATACTGAATATCTGTATGCAATCACAACCGTGCTGATCTTCAGTATATAAACGTAATGTACAACAGTTCTATAAAAGTAATTATTATAGGGTAACTTATTTTCAAACAAAGTACAGACTGGAACAGTATATATTGGTGGAAGGGAGTGATTTCCCCAACCTGCTCATAGCGTTCTGTAATCACGCTCCGCTCCTGCTCCATTTCGGGTTTTCCATTTCACTATAGTGAGAGAAACCCGCTCCGAACGCTCCTGGCCTGAGAAAACACTGATGCTTCGACTTCCAAAAGTCAGTGAACTCATCTTGCAATTATGAACATTAATGTTATATTTCTCAGTTAATGTTTGGGTTATGAAAAGTAATGACCTAAGAAATTAACGTTACTGTAAATCTTTTAGTGTCATAATACTTAATATTGAAGTATTACATTTCTAAACAGGAAAGTTACGTTAGTGTTGAATGGAAATACATACTGTAATGGCAGTCCAAGCTTGAAATTACTGATGTGGGCTCATATTAGCATGGGGGGAAAAGTCAGAATTGTGAGAAGTCAGAATTCCGACTTTTCCCCTTACAATTCTGAGTTTATATTTCACCATTATGACTTTTTTCTCAATTGTAAGTTTATATCGTGGAATTGAAAACAATCCCAATCATGAGATAAAAAGTTGCAATAGCCTTTATATATTTACTTAAAAAATAGATTATCTTAACAACTTGGTAAGACTTGTAAATATGCATTTTATTAACTTAATTTTTGAGTTTGCACTAGTTTGGTCTCAGCATATTACTTTTAATCTAACGCCAAGTCCGCCTTTTCTCATTTTAAATAATTTTGTGACCCCCTTAAACATTTGTTGAGGCCCCCTAGCGGGCCTCGACCCCCTGGTTAAGAATCTACAAGAATAACTTTTGAACATCTGCATACTCTGCATATCTGTCTGATCAGAGGGAAGTTAGAGAACCACACCAGCAGATGTCATTAACGCATCCTGACTGACTGCACTAATGCCCACTGGAAATATGCCATATAATGAAAATGATTTCCCATGCGCTATTCAGTTATCTTACAAATGCTGTTATTTAAATCTGTAGAAAAAAGTCAGCTTAAAATACACACTCCTTGCATTAATTTCTGATATCCTAATATCAGTAGTTTTATTAAAAAGCCTTTATTTACCAGGATATTTCATATACAGTGGGGCAAATAAGTATTTGATACACTGCCGATTTTTCAAGTTTTCCCACTTACAAAGAATGGAGAGATCTGTAATTTTCATCGTAGGTACACCTCAACTGTGAGAGACAGAATCAAAAAAAAATAATCCAGAAAATCACATTGTATGATTTTTAAATAATTAATTTCCATTTTATTGCATGAAATAAGTATTTGATCACCTACCAACCAGCAAGAATTCTGGCTCTCACAGACCTGTTAGTTTGTCTTTAAGAAGCCCTCCTATCCTCCACTCATTACCTGTATTAATTGCACCTGTTTGAACTCGTTACCTGTATAAAAGACACCTGTCCACACACTCAATCAATCAGACTTCAACCTCTCCACTATGGGCAAGAAAAAAGAGCTGTCTAAGGACACCAGGGACAAAATTGTAGACCTGCACAAGGCTGGGATGGGCTACAGGACAATAGGCAAACAGCTTGGTGAGAAGGCAACAACTGCTGGCGCAATTATTAGAAAATGGAAGAAATTCAAGATGACTGTCATTCTCCCTCGGACTGGGGCTCCATGCAAGATCTCGCCTCGTGGAGTATCAATGATCCTGAGAAAGTTGAGGGATCAGCCTAGAACTACACGGTAGGACCTGGTCAATGACCTGAAGAGAGCTGGGACCAGTCTCAATGGTTACCATTAGTAACACACTACACCATCATGGATTAAAATCCTGCAGCGCGCGCAAGGTCCCCCTGCTCAAAGAGCATTGAAGATGGTTCGTGGCTGGGTCTTGCAGCATGACAATGACTCCAAACACACAGCCAGGGCAACTAAGGAGTGGCTCCGTAAGAAGCATTTCAAGGTCCTGGAGTGGCCTAGCCAGTCTCCAGACCTGAACCCAATCGCAAATGCGAGATAAAAAGTCGCAATTATGAGAAATAGTTACAAATCTAAGATAGAAAATTGCAATTGTGAGAAATAGTTGCAATAGTTGGATATAAAACTGCAATTGTGAGAAAGTCACAATTCTGAGAAAGTGTACTGTGACGAGTGGGGGTGTGGCCGAGAGCCGTGGGAATGGAGCGAGTTCCAGCATGACAATGACCCCAAACACACAGCCAGGGCAACTAAGGAGTGGCTCCGTAAGAAGCATTTCAAGGTCCTGGAGTGGCCTAGCCAGTCTCCAGACCTGAACCCAATAGAAAATCTATGGAGGGAGCTGAAACTCCGTGTTGCCCAGCGACAGCCCCAAAACCTGAAAGATCTGGAGAACACCTGTATGGAGGAGTGGGCCAAAATCCCTGCTGCAGTGTGTGCAAACCTGGTCAAGAACTACAGGAAACGTCTGACCTCTGTAATTGTAAACAAAGGTTTCTGTACCAAATATTAAGTTCTATTTTTCTATTGTATCAAATGTATGTATGTATGTATGTATGTATGTATGTATAGGAAGTCGTGGCCTAATGGTTAGAGAGTCAGACTCATAACCCAAAGGGTGTGGGTTCGAGTCTCGT